CCGACCTCGTGCGCATCCTCACGCACCTGCAGCTGCTCCGTGCACGGGACATCATCACCGCATGTGAGTGCGCGGCCCCGGGACCCCCGGGACCCCCCGGGCTAGGGACCGCCCAGGGCCAACCGCAGAGCTCCTCCCCCTGGCCTGGCCTAACATCCCTTTCCTTCCTTGGCGTCCCAGGGCACCCTCCCGCCCCGATTCTGCCCCCCAGCACCACCGCCACGAGGCCCAGCAGCATCTCTGCACCCTCCAAGGCCGAGGCTCCCAGCCCCCGGAAGTTACACTCGTCAGCCTCCACCCTCCTCTCCCCAGGTAAGACGGCCCGGATGTTGGGCTTGATGAACCTGAGGAAAGGACCACCTTGACCATGGCCACGGCTGTAGATCCTGCCACTGTTCTCTGCTTGCCTCTCACTGGTGTCTTTATGAAGCTTTTCCAGGTACCCAGACTCAGTCTGATCCTGAGCTTGGCCCTGTCCCAAACTCTGCTGCCCTCCTGCCAGCACCACCATCGCCAGCCCCTTCCTGTACCAAGGTAGGTGGGTCCTGCACCTCACCCCAAAGTTTTGAGACAAGCCGCAGGAGCCCCAGCCTTTGAAACCCCAGGAAGCCCCAGCCAGCTCAGCAGGGGTGGCTGCGGTTGGGGGAGCTTGGAGCCTAGGCAAAAGAGAGGAGCCAGGACCTCACCTGATCTGGGGTCTCTTCCCACAGCCAAGCGCAGAGAGCCCACTGTCCCTCCTGCGGGGGGCACACTCCTCTTCGTTCTGCTGGCCCCTCCATGAGATTTGCCAGGGCACACACAACTTCTCCGAGGAGCTGAAGATCGGGGAGGGCGGCTTTGGGTGTGTGTACCGGGCAGTGATGAGAAACACGGTATATGCTGTGAAGAGGCTGAAGGAGGTGGGTGTAGCATCCCGGCACAGGCCCTGGAAGGCTGTTAGCAGACCCTCACTTGCCTGGTCCTCCCCCCGCTGCTTCAGCTCTCTGGTTTCCTAGTTCACGGCCCCCAGACCCTTGCTTGTTCTGGGCCCAGAACAGGTGGCAGTGGGAGTGGCTAGCAGCCTTGGCTGCAAGAGCCTCACATTGCCCGCCCCCACCCCTCCTTTTCTCTGAGGGCTGCAGGATGCAGACCTGGAGTGGACCACAGTGAAGCAGAGCTTCCTGACTGAAGTTGAGCAGCTGTCACGGTGAGCCTAGGTGTCCCTTCTGGCCAGGTGCAGAGGGAGAGCCTTGCCGGGGCCCCATCAGCCTCCAGGACTGCCCAGCGTGGGACCTGGCTCCCTCAGTCCCCCAAAGCCTGCCAAGCCCAGGCTAACTGAGGGACCACCCCCTCGATGGCCAGATGGAAGGTGCAGTGGATGCTGGGGGCCAGAGTGCTCAGACCCTACTTTTTCAAGCAGGTTCCGTCACCCAAACATCGTGGACTTTGCGGGCTACTGTGTTCAGAGTGGCTTCTACTGCCTTGTCTACGGCTTCCTGCCCAATGGCTCCCTGGAAGACCGCCTCCACCTCCAGGTAGCCTGACCAGGGCCTGGGCTCTCAGCTTCTGGGAGCAGGTTCCACCAGCAGGCCGGGCCTGGAACTCTTTCCTAGGGCCTCTCCCTGCTGCTCCTGTGTGCCTGGAAGCCTAGGTCATAGTGCCTCTAAAAGGGGGGTTCTGGACTCAGAGTGGCTTGAGGGAAGGAGGCAGTGGACAGCAGGTGGCTCTGT